AGCTGTTTTAGATACCTGTCCTGCTGTTGTGGTAGTGTTCAGTTTCTGTGAAATGGAAATTAGTGGCTAGCCATTTGTGCAGACCATCTCCTCCTCATTGCAGAAAGCTTGAAAACATGACCTGAGTGCAACCTAAAGACTCAAATGAGAAGGCAAATGAAAGCCACATTATTGGTTTAAAAATGTCGTGAGTTGTAAGCCAATCTCGTGAATTTTGGGGGCCTGACATGATATTGGAAGCTTGGGGTTGGAAATACTACACATTTGAACAGAAATAATTTCATCTGCATTGGTGTTCTGATTATTAAGAAAAGACAGGAAGTACTTTTTTAAGAGCCTGTTTTGCTTCTTATTCACATGCAACTCCCATTGTAATCAGTGGGCCTGCATGAGGACTATAGTATTGGGTGCTTAATGGTTTGATTTTCAGAGATATTGAGCAAGGGGATGGTGACTTCCATTGAAGAAAATAAGCACAGCATTTCTGAAAATCATTCTACACAGTTGATTATAGCATAGCACATCTCATATAATGTTACAAGACACAAGAGTGAAATTCAAGTGACTACTGTAGAAGTACAGTAATTCCTCTAGAAGTCCCCATGGCTGGGGTGAGGGTTGTGTAACTCCAAAAGGGACTCAGACTATACATTTTCCAGACAGTGTCAAGAAGCCAGTGTTTCTGAAAGCTTGTTAAAACGCTAGTTGTGTCCAGTGTTTTAACACCATTTCATAATACTGAATCAGTTTGCAGAGTATTTTATCTCTACAGTGTTCATGAATTTAGTAAGTCTGAAAAAACTAATGAAATGCAGAATTTTCATTTATCATAACACGCCTCTTCAATGCACAATTCTTTTTACTTAATGTGAAACTTAGTCAAAACAGATTTGATATATCTGTATCTATATAGGAGATCACAAATGCATGGCTATAGCCTCAGTGCATGACTGTGATGATCATACACACAATATTAAAGCCACCTCAACATAACCTCCCTCATTCCTGGTTTTGTCTCAGCCAACTGCTCCTCATCCATGTGCTGATATTAACCAGGCACCAAGATAGCTGAGTGATCGAGGTCTTTGCATATGTGAATAATAGAGACAGATGTTATCTGTATATTTCTGGTATTTGAGCCTGTGATGCAGTCTCACCTTTCTCCCCAATGGCTATATATAGATGCTGAGTAGGACAGAACAGATAATTAAATCTTGAGCTGTTCTACAGGCAAGAAGCCTAGTGATAAAGGAGTATTTGCCCATCATTATCCTGTGTACAGCCTTTGAGGAAGGATTCAAACAGTTTTAGAACATTTCCATTGACACTTGCCACATCTCCTACCTAAGAGCAGCAGTGTATGATCCACCATATGCAATGCTACCTAGAAGTCCAAGGGAGATTTGACACTAGGCAATAGATGTCAAGTTCCATTGCATCTAGTGAAGGTTTCTGCAGAATTCATAGGATTATGGCATGCTTTAAAGAGATGGAAAGAGTTAATTTTTCAAATTGTGCACTGACCATATTTCTCTTGGAAGAAATCAGATTTATCCTTCACTTTCTTTTGCGAACTTGGAAGGGCAAGGGTTGGACCCAAAGACGGTTTTACACTTCCTTCAATGTATTCTGGACTTACTGTTGAATGAATGGACAGAACTTTGAGTAGGAAGGTGTCAAGATACTATGTTTGTGTGGTTTCTGGTTCAGAGTATCCTGAGAAACCTTGGATGTGGGTGATCTCCTCTGTGAAAAGAGGATAGTTCCTCCCAGCAAATGATACAGAGTTCAGGTGCGGATTGCAGATAGACTGGGTTGATAAGTAGTTCTTAATCTGAATTGTTCTTTTAGATGTGGTTATGAAGCCAGTATGGAGGAGGACAGAAAGGATGTCTACTTGTAACCTGTCCTCAGAGTAGACTTGTAGAAACAATTTGTGTTCCAATCTGTCTGCCTCTGCCAGAACTTCCCAGTTACTGTCCCAGGCTCTGTCTAGGCAGAGAGTAAGTCTTGTAGGAAAGAGATTGGTCCTCTGCAAGGCCCAAGAGCTACCAATCTAGCTCTAAGAAAGGTGGTGACTCTGTAGAGGTTTAAGAACCAAACAAATGTCAGAACAGTGAAAAACGGATGAGGGGCAAATATTTAATATGGATCTATCACCCAATTTTGTTGACTCCTCCCCAACTGCAAGAGTCCTGAAATGTAGAACATTATTTAACTACATTAATGTAAATCAGAAGGATTAAGAACTGGAATGACTACTGCCAATTTTGTCCCATTTTTGACCAACTTATGAGCTATTTTATGACTTTTAAAGCCACAGCTCTGTTGGGGGTGTGTGGATATATACCACACCAGCAGCTGCTGCTAAATGAATTCAGCATGTGGAGGCAGAGGTGAAAGTAAGGCGGTACGCCCCGGTACAGCGTACCGTCAAGAGCCGGTGCGCTGTACCGGGGTGGATCAGCTTCCCTAAGCACAATTTAAAGGGCCTGCAGCTCCCAGCAGTGGCTGGAGCCCCCAGCCCTTTAAATTGCTGCCAGAGCCCCGGGGACGATTTAAAGGGCCCGGTGCGGTAGTGGCAGCCGGAGCCCTGGGGAAGCAGCGGCAGGGCTCCGGGGACAATTTAAAGGGCCCAGGGCTCCAGCCGCTGCTATGCCCAGGGCCCTTTAAACCGCTGCCAGAGCCCCCAGCTGCCACTGTTACCCTGGGGTGGGGGAAGGAGGCACTTGCCGGTAGGCCCTGCCCCTTCTGGCGGCCAGAGTGGGCCCCAGCTCAGCCTTGTATCGGTAAGACCTGAGACTTACTTTCACCCCTGTATGGAGGGCAGAGACAGGTAGAATGCCTACAGGGTGCATTCTCTGGGTATATCTACACAGCCTGTGAAAGCAAACCTCTGAGCCTGGGTTTGTGGAGCTCACGCTGTGTAGACAGTGCTTTGATGATGTGGCCCAGAATGGAGCTTGGGATCTGAAAGCTAGGGAGGGGATAGGCTTCAGAGCCCAAACTCCAGCCCAAGCCGCAACTTCAAAGTGTTGTCTGCACAGCTGTTTCTAAAGCACTAGTGTGAACGCCACAAACCCAAGTCTGCCCATCTGGGCCATGAGGCTTATTGCCACAGACTGTGTAGACATACCCTCTGAGGCTGCTTAAAAGGGTGGAGCTTGTGTTAGCTCTAGCTGCATGTGAGTGGGGCCATGTCTTGTCTAGGTGTTTGTCACACTGGTGACACTAACACTCCTGTGCCTTGCGTTCCATTAGGTAGTCATTTACGCCAATGCAAAGTGGGCATAAAATACTATCAAATTAGAACAGTCGTGTTTTACGCCCACTTTGCACAGCTGTAAATGGCTACAGAATTACAGGGCAGTGGAGAACCAGGAAGCCCAAGCCCAATTTGAATATCCACCCTTAGTCAGCAAAGCACTTAAGCACATGAATAGTTCCATTGACTTCAGTGGGACTACTCACCTGCTTAAGTTTTTTGCTGGAATGACCCATGCACCATCGGCACCTTTCAGGATCAAGTTCTAAATCCTTTACTGGATAGGGATGGACTTAAGCACTAGGGATATAAATACCGTTTAAAAATTTAACCATTTAAACGATTAACCAATTCAGCAGCTCGGGTTGGGGCCCCTCCCAACTGGGCCCTCACTGGCTGGCGCAGGGCTGCTGGGGTCGGCCGGCCGGTCGGCCCGGGGTTGATGGTTAAGTTGGATTAACCAGTAAAACTACTTAACATCCCTATTAAGCACTTGTTTAAATGCTTTGCTGAAACTTAAGCTGCTCCCTGTGCTGACGTACAAGGGGAAGGGGGAGCTCTCTACAGTATCCGTCTCCCTAGGACACCTATGTACAAGCAAGCAGAATCTGTCTTGTTAAGATGATAGCCGTGTGGGCATATTTGAAGTTGCAACAGTTGAATATCAGTATTTTCAAAATTTCAGTTCAGAGAATTTCCAGTCATACTGCATGAGCTGCTTCCAGCAAAAAATTCTATTTTCAGATCACATGGATGTAGTAAGGAGAGTGTCAAAATTACAGCCTATGATGAGTTGTTTTCCATTTGCAATCATTAGCAGAAAAAAAAAGTTTTAAAAAAATGCAAAGGAAGTGCATGGGGCATCATGATGCTAAGCTGACAAGCCATACACTCCTGTGGGTTCCACATGGTGACATGCAGTGTAACAGAAATTGATTCTAAAAGCTGAAAAGATACATTTTATACAAAAGTATTTTTTAAAAATGTCTAGGGTTCAGACCTGCATAATTGGTTATTTTATTAATAGGAAGGAAAAAAACTCACGAGGGCATTCATTTAAAAAATGAACTACGAGCTGAAGCGGCAAAATATTTTAACATGACAAATGTATTAAGCATATTTTCTGGCAATATATTACTCTGTGAGCTGTTTTAGAACAGTACCCTTTTCAGGAGAAAGTGTTCATGTAATTCCAATAAAATATATTTTTTCATATTATAAAAACAGATTATATAATCTTTGATTATACACTTAATTTAATAAGGAAATCAGTCTAATTTTTTCTCATTGTGGTAAGATCAAAAACATGCCATCCAGTAATATTTACTCCTGTTTCTTTGTGCTGTAGACAAATAATTAGACTTGACCGTTGAATTAGTGGGTAAGCAACATATGCTGAGAAGAGCAGCTTTACACCCAGAAAAGTAAACCCATTTTGTTTTCCTGATTTCTGTCATTTTCACCCAAAATAAAAACATAAGCATAATAGGTAGTATTCAGACTATACACATCTCTGATATATGAGGTGGAAAGTACATGCATAATACCTATCAATTAATAAATATTCTAAAAAAGATATCTGTGCAACTTACCTGATTTATTTAAGCATGGTATCAGTGAGTTAAAGATCAAACCACAGTAAGAAAGGAACATATTTAGCTGGTTATTTTGTCAGTAGTAACTATCCTTGAGACTGCCATAATCACAGTTTCCCCACGGTCTTCAACTCTCATAGGTATACAAAAAGAAAGCTGCTGGGAAGCTTGGAGACATCAATCTCAAAATGACTGAGCAAGAGGAGGAATTTGCTGGGAAGGCTTCTCAGTACCAGCGTGAAATGAAGCACCTCCAGCGGCTGCTGCAAGACAAGCAAGAAACCCTTGATGAACTGCTGCAGCAGAAAAGGTAAATCAGTCACAGTCAAAAACAAGCCAACTGGATTGAGTGGTAAAAACGGGGCAGCTGCACGCACTTGCTTTCAGTCACAGCTCCATCTGGTATGCTCTGGGAGCCTTCTCTCACTCATCTCTTAGCTATACTGAAAATACTGAAATGCTCTTTATTGTCTTCTTCCCACCTCCAAAATATAATCTTACAGGGAAGGAGTATTCCATGGAAGACTACCACTGTTCTTAAGCCTATAATTAAAAATCCTCCCAATGGCTCATTGCATCTCAACAAAAAGTAATATGTAGCAAATATCAACTTGAATCCAGTCTTTAATTCTTTTGTGTCTATACATCACTAGGACTATGATAATTTATTTAATATCATCTTTCAGTGAAGGCTGAAGGACTGTTTTTTGCTGACAGTTTTTCTGACAAATGGGAAGTAAAATCAGTCAGTTAGAGAACCTTGTCAGATGAGTCGGGAGGGGACTGGTTTTGGAATATAAGATATATAATGACATCTTAATATTCTATTATCCACTAGTGTAGATTGCCACCATCAAGAGCACAAAAGGAAAATAAAAATAGTTTAACAGATTTTGACAAGATTATGACTGTCAGTGTTGAAATATCCTATTAATATAAATAGTTCATTAAGGAGATTTTTCCCCCTTGTGGTGGAAGACTTCATAACACATTCCCATTATCAGCATAAAAGAATCAAAATAAATGAGAGCTAATTAAGCAGTCATACTGCAAGTCATCTCAGCCATTGTGAGATAATATGGATTTAAAAATTATGGAAACCAGAGCTCAAGCAGACTGCCATCAACGTCTACAAGATCAGCACAGTTCTGTTTCTAGTTAGTGCATACAGTGTTATTAGATGGCATTAAATTGTTGGTAGATACATAAACATAATTTTGCTGCATCTGTGAGAACTGGCAGAAAAATAGAGTATTCTGACATACTTGATTTGTCTGGGAAATGGTTACTTAGGATTTTTAACTATTTAAATGCCTCTTCTCCATGCATGCCTGTGCCAACTGTTTAAAAAAATAACTAGTTAAATGAGAATTATGTGATATACACTAGGGCATAAAGCCATAGTGCTATCATATGAGCCTCTTAGATATTGGCTTTATGTCCCCAAGAAAAGGAGCTAAAGTTAGCCAGTCTAAACCCCACATACTGGAGCATAAAATGATGCATACAGCTGATAGAAAATAAAGTATTTATGTTAGGTTCCGATAGCTGCTTTGCTATTCATTTTCTAATTCTCCTGTTTTAGCTCAGCTCAGCTTTTATATTTTGCTGTAGCAGTTATGTTAAAAAATACTAAACTGAAATAGATAAAGACCTATAGCTGAAAAGCCAGATTAATCCTATTATTATAAAGCTAGGAGTATCCTTTTTATTTTTAACTATAAAGATTTTTTAATTTAATGTGGTAAGTATAATTAATTATGCTTAAATACCTCACTTATGTTGTTTCATTCACCTCTTAAACACTGTATTGTCAATACATCAAGATTCCTCTAGCTCGAATTGTCTCCTGATAACATATTTACCAGTCACTCCAAGCCAAGCATTTTAAAGGAATAATACTAACATATTATAGTATGTCTGTCTCCCATATAAATTAAAAATTCATCGCTCGTCATCTGTCAATTCAATGCATTTCTAGCTTTGTAAGGTTTATCTTTATCACTCTCCCCTCACTGACAGAGGAAGAAAGTGGAAGGAGGAATTACTTGTAGGTTAGATGTCACTAATCTGTAGCTTGGCAACCAGCATCACTAGTGCTGGGACAGTAATGGACTGTTACAGATTTATTTCCACCAGCATTGTTCAAGGAGCAAATTGCAGAACAGAAAATTATTTTCAGCACGTAATTTCAATTATGAATTTAAAATAGTTGGTGATAAAGATAAAAGTATTCTAAATACTAAATAAGATGGGTGTAAAATAACTTACCACATGCAGGCTTTTGTATTAGACTGTACATTTAGAATATCCATTTAATTGAAATCATACTGTGTTCAAGAATTTTGAATCAGGAAAGCTGATGTGATAAAACAGTTAACTGAAGATATGTGGACTGTTTGGCTAGCAGAGTGTTTTTGTGTTAATGTTACAGCAATAATTCTTGAGACACACTATAAAGCAAATCAAACAGTAATTTTAAAGACACTTACACTGAATTCTTACCAAAAGCAATACTCTTAGGTAAACTGAAGAACTGGGATGATGCAATGTCTTTTCCTCATACTATTGTGTTTCTTAAATTTTGTTTTATAACAGTCGGAGCTAGGGTCAGGATATTAGCTATAACTTTTATTCATACCTTGAAATACTTTGCTTTCATAAGGGGGCTAGATGCACCATAATTACTTATGAGCGCTTTTAAAAAAAGACCCAACACAGCTATTCCTTATTCCTACACTTGCTTATGATTGTACGCATTGTTCTAGTTGCTAACAAATGTGGAGGATCTGCCATAAACTCACCTCACCTGGCTTTGAGGAGTTGATTGCTAGAAGATGAGCTAGCTTTGAGTGCTATTTCTTAAAAACAGACATTCCTGTTGGGCAGAATGCACAGCTTCCAGACTCCTGCAGGGGACCATATTCAGCCTGCAGTTATAACAGTGTCAGAAACAGTCTTCATGAAAATGACTGCCATTTAAAATCTTTGTATGTTAAAAAAATACTTAAATGGAGTCACATAGGATTATTAAAATATATTATTAAAGCAATATACAAACCTTCCATGGAGCAACAGGGTCTCTTAAATAAACAGTTTCTAAATAGCCAACTTTCCAATTCAAGATGTGATACTAAAAAGGGTCAAGGAGAGCATATTTGAACCATGGTGCTTTAACCTGTGCAAAAATACAGTTTTTTTCTCTTACACACACCTTTTTAACACCTCAATCAATGTAATTAAAGGAACCAAGATGATTCAAAATAGCCATACAGCATAGATATGCAAGAGGCAACACTTGGCTGACAGTCACACATTTGGCAGTCTTACGACAGAGATCCTTTTTTAGAAAATTCCTTCTAGCCTAGAGGAAGGTGCACTGGACTGGGAGGAGCTATGATTACTAGGCTCACTTCTTCCAGAGATCAGTATTAACATTTCTGCCATTCATAAATCTTTATAACTGAATAAGGCCTTATACCCCTATCTGGGAATAGAACCCATACCTCTAACATAACAGACTCATCTTCTTCCCTTAACCACACTTTAAGAATAAATGTGCCAAATCTAACTGCTTAGCTATACTTCCTGCAACCCCTGCTCTACTCATTGAACCAGAGCCAGTAAAGGAACCCAGGTATCCAGATACCTGACATTCCACTGCTGTCTCACCAGAAGCTATGTAAGCCACTAACAAAGTGTATATCACATGCTCCTCTAGGGTCTGGTCCACATAGACAACAGTTTGTTTCTGACACAGGTTATCCCTTTAGCTCAAATAATAGAGGATTGTGCTGTGGATCTGAATGTCCTGGGCTCAATCCCTGCTGACAACTCATGTTAGTATGTCAGTCTTGCCTCCCAGTCCTTTTTTGTGTGAGGTTTGAAGTACTTGCAGATCTGGCAGCTGTCCCTTGTATGAGTCTCTCCCAGACAATTGGAATGGGGGTCGCTCAGGGGAATCGCCTCGCCACAGGAGGCACAGGGCTTGAAGCCTGGTGACCAAGGCATGCCTCAGCATTAGGTAACGAATGAACTCCAATAACTGATGGACAAAAAACTCCAAACACTTACTGACTAAAAACTAACTATTTATAACTAATTCAACTACATACACTATAAAAAACAGCGAAAATCACTTGGAAAGTTTGCCGAAGCAAAAAGAGCAGTTCCACTGTCATGGGCACTAAGAAGGAACTGAGGGAGCGCAGACCAGGCCCTTTATATTGGCTCTATGAGCGTATGGCACCACAGGGCACCAGAGCCAATCCGATGGATACAACTGAGGGAAAAATTTCCAGCAACTGTGCTTGGGGCACGCTCAAACCTACATTGGAATGGACACGTTCAAGCACTTGAAGAACCAATTGCTTCATAGATATCAATATATATGTAATAGTATATAAATGTTGATATGCACATAGTTTATAAATATATCTTTAGAATAATGAAAAAAGGTAAATGAAGTGACAAATGATAATGTGTGAGAATAAATAAATACAAATATATTTTTACCATATTCATATTATAAATGTACAAACCTTAACAATGGGTAGAAGCATACAAATAAATATACAATTGCCCATATAAAGTGATAACAGGTAGTCACAAATAACATTCATAACTACTTACTTGTACATTACCATAATGTATATATTAAATAAACCTAAATCTCTGACTGCTAGAAGCTGGGACTGGATGACAGGGGATGAATTAATAAATTGCCTTTTCATTCCCACTGAAGCATCTGGCACTGGCCACTGTCAGAAGACAGGCTACTGGACTAGATGGACCATTGGTCTGACCTAGTATGACCATTCTGAAGTTATTAGGTTCTTACGTTAAATACTTATAAATATAGATATAAATATAAGTAGAAATAAGGAGATAATGGTAATATAGTTACTATGACTATAGATATACATATGTTGGCGTATCAGTATATTGAAATATTATAGTAAATATCATGTCTAACAGTACTGATTATACCTATAACCAATTTAAAGTCCCTGTACTTGAATTCCTTTTTTCCTACCAGCAGATATCCTCTTAACTTTGTCATTAAACCATAGCATTTTAAAGGTGATGGGTCTAGGATTACTGTTCTCTCTCCTTCTGGCCTCTGCCACTCAATGAGTCCTTTCAATCTCCAGGGAAGGCAAGCCGGGATCCAATTCCAGTACCTCAGAGAGTCTGTTCTGGAGAAAGCTAATCAAGTTTTTTTCCTTCTAACCCTTCAGGGACCTCACTAACCACAAACAACTCCTGTGTCATCTGTTTTCAAGATCTTGTTTTCCCTCAAGACTGGTT